TTATTTGTGTTGTGAAAAACATAGTCGATAAGGAATATGCCAAATACGGTCATTTGATGTCAATTCGTTTGTTAGTATCGTATGTATTTTTATCTGGCGTTAATGCAGTAGTTAATATAATATTCTAGACTAAGTAGTAAGTACACTTTTTTTTGTGAAAATCAAATTAAAAACATCTTATAAATAAATTTATATTTTTGAAATATTAATGAAAAAGAAAATATTTTTATGAACATATTTTAGAATTTTTGCATATTTTTAGTGCATATATTTTAAGGTTTTTTAGAACATGAAGTCCCTAGATTTACTCATAACTAACCAATTGTTATTTGCAAATCGTCAAACGAAAACATAATTTAAAATTTTATTTCGCAACGGGCACGATGTATAGGTTATTGCTTATATATAAATTGTATATAAACCGATTATAGTTATACACAAACGTGTTCATCCATACTTATACGTATTCTAGACACTCCTATATCTGTGTAAAATGGGAAAGAATCTACATGTGATACATTGTAGGTTAAGTATTACATATTAATTTTTCAACTATAATCTAAGAAATTAAGAACCAATTCGTATGTTACCAGCAAACTAAGCGGGAACCAATTCATTAATTGGGAACCAACTCGTTTAGGTGTTATTAAAAGTAATCAAATATACGTGAAGACAGTTTGTGTAAGTTTATGGTGTATCTAAAAATCAGCATTGTTATAATTTACCTATTTATTGTTTAAATTTTTCTGTTCAACCAGAACATCGTAAACAAAACACTAAATCGCAGTATTGTATTCGACTTATTAACGTTTTATAATTAAAAAAAAACTTAATTATATTCTTTTGAGATGCATGTCGTTCAACAATAATTGGCACGCAGCTGTGTTGATAAATTGATAATCGCATCGGTCCTTTTCCTTTCGTTTTACACGCAGGTGTTAGCGCATTTTGAAAATTAAAAACTGGTGAAAGTTTGTTGGATTTTTTCTAAGAAAGACAGTGAAAATATAAAATTTCATGCAGATGCAATGAAAAAATACAAGCCATATAATACCGCGTAACAATCTGTATAAAAACAAATTTACACGCATTGATTGTTGTCATTGCAGGGAAAATTTCACATTTACCGATATTATACACACACATACACACATATATATTGAGTATCCATAATAAAATATTATAATAAGACGCACAAATAAAAAATTAACGGTTTCACCGTCGTTATGTATAAATAAACGCAATAAGTAACGTTACACTTTCATTATAGGTATATATTTAGCAAGACCAGATCAATGACCGCAGGTTATAGACGTGATCAAAAGAACAGAATATTAAAACGAGTACAAAAATGTTTAACTAGGTATAACTGACATAGATAAACGGTACGACTTATAATAAATACAACTTATTCAATTTGAAAGTGAATTTCGAGTAAAAGTTGTTTAGTATACAAAAAAGCATAAATAATATACGAAAGCTTAAGTCTATCATATTATATTGTTTATTTAAAATTAAAAAAAAAAAAAAATTAGCTTAAAAAAGTAAACGTTTGTAGCAACAACATTAAATTTATTTAAAACCAATATTTATCCTATATTTTTTACGAACGAAACTTACTATGAAATAAAATAATAAATTCAAATTATGCTTGTTTTTTTTTTTTTGTTCATTTGTTCGAATGTGTATGGCCCTGAAGCATAAATAATTATGTGTACGTCCTCTCAAGACTCGATTATTTGAGACTTGGTACTGGTGTTAATACATACAATTACGATACTTATTATACTTACTACGCACAAAGTTTACCTGAAGGTCAACTACTGTATGATATATAATATAATATAATAAATGTGTACCTAATAAAAACATCATTACATTATACACGTAAAACGCATCATCCAATGATATAATAATATAATAATAGTAATTTAAAAAAAAGGTCTAACCATGGGTTATTATTTTTACGCTTTAAGCATATTAAATATTAATATATTATACACATTATGTGAAAAATAAGTGGGATATTTAAAATTTAAAATTGTAAAATATGAAAATCGGTTAATAAATACAATATCTTTTCTTATTAATTATTACTTGTTTAAACTTTAATACGTTCGACTAGATATTTCATAAAAACGAAATGTATGTTCATACGATAAAAAGATAATATGTTCATCATAATTCATTAAGTATATCATTAAACAATTATAAAATAACATTTATTAATTTTTTATTACAGCAACTTACTCAGATCCATGCAAAAGAAATGATAAGGACTTTAGTGGCTGTTTGAAGAGAACTCTTCAATACTTGATCCCAAAATTTAGCAAAGGTTGATATTCTTATTATTATATGTTACAACGATTTAAAAACTAATAACACGATTAATCAAACAATTTTCAGAAGGAATTCCACAATTAAATATCACATCTTTAGACCCTTTCTATTTGAATGAATATCTTATGCATTTTGAGACTACACAAATTGAAGGAAAAGCCCTATTTAAAGATGTTTACAACCATGGTTTGGGATCTATAAAAATTGTCAATGTCAGGTAAATAATATAAAAATAAACAATACATTTTTGTACTTTTCTACTTCTTATTAAAGTTAATTTGTGTATTGAATAATTTCTTGTAGAATACTTCAAACACTAATTATTTAGAGGTTTAAGAAAATACATTTTAATTTCACGCACTTTAAATTTATTAAAAATATTGTTTTTAGATCTCTCATAGAAGACCCAGAACAATTAGAATTAGAAGTCGACTTTTACATGCCAAAAGTAATTTCTAACGGAAAATTTAAGGGCGAGGGAAGAATTGGTCAGATGCCAATCATGGGCAAAGGCGTATTCAACGTGACATCTTGTAAATACAAAAGCACTCATGAGCCAATCATTGAAATTTGATTAAATAATAAAAACATAAAATTAAATTTATGTGCGTAGATGATGTGACCGGTTCGTGGATGTTAAAAGGCAATGCCGTTGAATTGGACGGACAACGTTATATGCGTATCAAGGACGTTGGCATGAAATTAGACATTGGAGACATGAAAATATACGCGACCAACATGATCAATGGAAGTCCCGAATTGAGTAAGTACTATACAGTATACATCAGCAATGCGATTTAATAACGCAAAGAGAAAGCCAACCATAAAAATATAAAATATAATACGTGATGTTATTATCAATATTCTAGGCCAAATGGCGTTAACCTTCGCTAACCAATTTTGGCGAGTGATATTCCAAATCATGATGCCGTATGCCGAAGAGGGTTTCGAAAAGATCACAAGACCCATTCTCAACCAAGTGTTCCTGGAGGTTCCTTATGACCAGCTGTTCCCACCCAGTCGCAAATAAAACCTCCCAACAAAATCATATTTCTCTTTAATTTACCATAAGTTTTTCTTTGTGACCTGTGTTGTAAGACATTAGTATTTTCTTACTGTATTGAATAAGTAATAAGTTTTTATTTTTAGTATTGTAATAAAATAGAACGTATCACCGAAAAATGAAATTTGCAATCAGTAAGATATCTAACCAGTGTTATTTATTATTAAGATTAATATTATATTTTGTCCTAAGCGACGTAAATAATTATTTAATAACAATGTTATTATATAAGTAAATTTTGTTAAGAAATAATTGCTAAAATTTTTCTTTTCATTTATTTATCATCATCGCTCCTAATCCTAGATGTATAACATAATAATTTTAGCTCATACTCATAAGGATAAATTAAAATATATGAAAATAATATATACACTTAAATTTCAATTAAAATGTAGTTAGTTTACGAATTTTCTTCAATGCTGAACAACAACGTATTGCCTGTTTCTATTATCTGAACTGCGTATATTATTATTTTATTATGTTGGTGTTATACTTTTGGATACCTATGTATAATATCTGAATTGTGATTATCCCATTACTGAATACAACATTCAACCAATACTCTCAACTGTAGCCTCGGTTCGTGTATAAGTGTATTGCATTGTACTACATAAATTAGTTATAAGTACACAGTAACTAGGTAGGTATACTGACTATGTATTTGTATTATTTTTAATATTTTATTCACAACAATATAATATAAAATGTTTGGTCACATGTGTGATTGAGATTCATAAACACAGAAGGAGACGTGTGCAGTGTGTCTAACCAGACTTATAATTTATTTCACAAATCACAATTATCTAATTACCAATACTAAATATCTTGTCACAAATATTTAAGTACAAAAATTTAATGTAATTGATTTCAGCTTAAAAAGTTACATAAACGTGTATTTTACATAATATTTAAGTAGGTACCTACGTTATTTTCATTCTAATCTTTAATGAATATAGGTCATTAATATTTACAAACATGAAATAATTAATTATTCTCAATACGCTTTTTTAATGTAATCAATAATCATTGATATAATAAACTGGACACACGTGATCATTTATTTATTTATAATTATTACCTTGACTTCATTACTTATATATTTCAATGTATTCTCTGGTAATATAAGGACTAGAGGTTTTAATGTTGAACATTATTAAATAAAAACATAATAATCATAACAGTAGCGCTACAAGTCGTATTAAAGTCCTAAAGTCTTGAAAAAAATAATAAACCTGATTGCACTGATGGAAGTGTTTACGGTGACTCACGATAGCATTTGACTTCGACACGAATAGTTAAGTTATACCATTTTGGTAGCACATTTGAGTAAACATTATTAAAGTTTGAATATAACCGCAGAACAATTTTATATTACTTGGAAATTGGTACATACATTTTATAAAAATTAAAATGGTTGAGTTTTAATATAAATGCCCATTGATGACAATAGAATCGAAACTTTATTTTTTGGTGGAAACATATAATACTATTCTGACAAAAACAAGTAAATGAATTACAGTTATTATGATTTGGCTGTGTCTATAATTTTATATCATACCAAATATCTTCTCAGGAATAACCTAGGTGAGCCCAATAATTTAATCACGTTTCACCGTTTTTTATGTTATTTGGTATTTTTAATTTGTAATGATATTTAAAAAATTAAACTTTTCAGTAACGTTTTCATACACCTAAAATACCGCCCAACAATCAATACCAGGAAAATTTGTTAGAATTTATATTTATATGTTGTTAGTACAATGGCTAGGTGGAAATTATACATCAATTACGACGATATATACTCAAATTTATGAAGAGCATGAGCATGAGAAATCGCGTGGTGGTAAAAAAAACATTTCCGGACAAAAATCTTCCATAGATTCCATCACGTGTGTAGCATTAGCGGTCAATTCTCTTGGTAACATGGGATCGGGTATCATAACCACTTGCATGCCCGCTGCTAAAGCTGCAGTCACTCCGTTTGGCGAGTCTTCGAATACCAGAAACTATGTATTATATAACATGTATGCATATATATTATTAGAATGGTCATTATTTTTCAAAACTGAACAACACAACATTATAATCTGTTGCAGTAGGTATGTATAAAAATAAGGTGTTATTCAAAAATGCTTTAGAATTAAATTTGATTTTTCTTAAGTGGTATTTTTTGTAAACAATAATTGTATAGATATTAACTTAAAATTAAATAAACATAATATGATGTACTAGAGGTTATAATTTATTTACTGGGACGTATGTTATTTGTACCGAAGAAAAAAACACACAATGCAGTTTGTGTCATATCTAAAAATTAATTTTGGTAATTTGTTACACTTTTCATAGTTGTTATTTTCATCACGTTAAACTAGATAAAACGACATTATTTGATATACCTACGCAATTTAATTGTAACTACAAATATTGTGATTTGCGTCATTTTTCACTAAATAAAAATAGTTATTTGCTTTATTTTAAAACAATTTTTAAATGTATTAATATGTTTTTGAAATTATTCATTAATCAAATTAATTTTAAGATTATTAAATTAAAAAAGAAAAAAAATTAAAGCTTATAAAAATTGTAGATTTAAGCATGCCCGCGTGCTTACTTTGTGAATAAATTAGTAATATTTCAATTAATAATATGTAAAAACCAGAAATATTATAATTCTTTATCCAATTGTTCAAGTTATTAATAGTCCATATTTTGATTAACTTTTATGTGCTATAACGCCTATTACTAATGTGAACTAGATACATTTTTAAGCTAAATTCCAATAATTGAAGTTGAAAATGTGGCATAGATTATACATACTATTTTGTTTTCTGTTGTAACGCAAATTACTAAAATTAATATTTAAATATGGCGCAAATTACATGTTTTTTTTATATTTTGGTGTAGATTACAATATATGTACTTAAATTTACTTGTTGGTAATTCAAATCACATATACTAAAATTAGTACAAAATGGTAAATACTATCTATCCTGGGAACGTATTGAATAGTTTAGGGTACCATAACAATCTACGATCAAATTACATATATATTATACATAGTAATTTAAAAAATGATGAATGACTCCTATAAATGAATTGTTTTTGTTTTTTAGCTAGGTATAGCAAAATACAAAGTACCTACTTCGTTTAGAGGTAGGTAAACCAAAAAATATTATTAAGTGTTTATTACCTTGTTGTTCGCAGGGTTTCCCGGAAACCTTGAAGCACATATATTGAATATGTCCGGTGCTGGCTTGCCGTTTTTTACTTCTGGATCGGAAGACCCGGTGACCACATGATGGAACACGGAAAATATATTTTGCAGATTAGCCGTTTTCACGTAGAAACTTTTCTCTGAACTACTTGTTGCCACCGCCATCGGTACCTTATGTCGACAGAAATATTCTAAGAGATCTTTGACTCCTAAATGAATAACAAGTAATAGAGAAATTCAAACACTTTTTATCAATTCTTATTATTTTCAAATATTATAGTATTTGGTTATTTGATTTATTGTTTTTATTCTTTATAAAGTAAATAATTATTTATACAAAATATATTTAAAATGTTTTATGAAAATATCCCATTTAAATACGCTGATGTTTCTAAAACTATTCACATAACCAAAAGTTTTATATTATGTTTATATATTTTATAGATTTGGCTGTGGATCACTTATACACACATACATAAACAGAAATATTATTTTATATAATTAATAATATCATATTTTTTTCAATTAATTAATTCATATTTTTTTTTTTAACCTAACTAGAAAAATATCAATTATTAAAAATTCCAAATATTACTTTATTAATTTAATGCTATAAATAATATGAATAGGTAGTAAGTACATACTAACCGTTCATAAGTTTTACGTTTTGTAATTCCTTTTCTTCCTCGTCACGAGCTAATTGTAATAATTCTTCGGGTGTTAAATTTAGTTGCAATGTGTTGATAATCAAATTAGCCACATCCATTTCTTGTTTTCCAAGGATTTGTAAACGTAAATTATCGGGAAATTCTTTGCCATAATCTTTGGCGATTTTTGTAAACGTTTTTTTATGAATCCGCTCCGTATCTAAATGTGATAGTAATACTAATAATGTACCTAGCACGTGCGAGTATTTAGATAGAGGAATATTTGTTTCAACTTTCATTATTATCATTCGTTACTAGTCATTCAATGTAAGTACAGAGAAATCTCTGAATAGCAGACATTCTCGATTACCGAAATTTCGTCCACTACTCGGAAGTGTCATCTTTCTTACTCAAAGAGATATTATACATTTTTGAAATTCATAAAGGATAAATGCTTGAAAAGTAAAATATTTGCCAAGTTAAACTAAATTATAATATTATTAATTAATGTTTTAATAATTTTAAAATTCTAACAGTTTATATTTAAATAAATATAAAGAAAGAAATGCATAAATGCATAAATACAATTAAATTTCGTGTGAAAAATCGGTTTTTAAACGAGTTTGTAATCGTTAACCACTATAAGCACGTTTTTGTAATGTTTTATCATTTTTTTTTTTTTTTAACTAAGATTAAATTAGATATTTGCTATTTAGAGATTTTCTCATCAAAAAGCAGTGAAAATATCCCGGTTTTCAAAAAAAATATATGCTATCGGGAAGTTTCATTGTATATATATTATATTATTATTTGAAATTAATAATTATACTACAACACATAAGTATATTTACTTACCTAATAGAGTTCCATCCAAATCAAAAATTACGTAGGTCACAGGTTTAAATACCGATTTACTCATTATTGGAACAGTCTAATATCAATCGGATGATGTCTATAATTTCATACACTATATTTAATGAAGAATAAGTAAGTTAAATAAATTCCTGCTACGAAATGATATGATGTAATGATTATAAATTATAATGTAATAAGCCACGGAATATCAAATTAAAATGTATTGATAATCATGAATAATATTATGAAATAAATTAGATACGGTATGATACAACTCAGCAACTAACAACTGATAGTCATCTGTGTATCAAGTCACTATTTATTTTTAATTATTTAGAGTGCTTTCAGACGAGACACTTTGTGGCCAGCTACTAGAATCGCGCTACAAGACACAAAAAGTGTTTTATATGTGAGCGCTTTTCACACGAGACACTTGTCGTACACTAGTATCTGATTCAATAATAAAATTATTCATTTTCAAATTTATTAATTTTTCACTCAACCATGGAAGTAGAAGAAACTATTTATGTTGAAGAACATAAATTGCACAGTGGGCAGCGACGAGTGCGGGCATCTATAATCGTAAAGCGATCTAATATAAATTATAATTATTATTTCATGAGATTTCATTGCGCCGTCTATTCGAAACGCGTTGTGAAATTCATTATCATTAATATGTCGAGCGATCTCAGTTTTTTTTTTTTAAATAATACAATTAATAACTTACAGTTAAAGTGAATATTCTATGTACATATTATGGAAATTCTTTGAGTGTTTGGTTAGATTGTTATTCTGAATGAAAACCTTCGTACATATCCGGTACGAAATCGTTGATTCATCGTGGATTTTTACATTCCTGTTCAGATCACCCTTCTGAATGTAAACTTTTCCGCAGGTAATGCAGGTAATGCAGCTGAACATTTTTACGAGATTTAACAAGCACAGAGTTTAAAAAATTATTTTAAAATTGTTGGAGCCGCCTGCGACTCAGGCTGTCTTGACCACGTCGTCTTCTCTCGCTATAGTGCATGAGCACCAGCCAAACTATCGAGTGCATGAACACCGATAAAATTACAAGCGCAGGCGCACCAGACAAGCGAGCAGGAGCTCTACTCAAAACCCACCATATACTTCACACCACAAGATTCTGTGAGCGACAGCTAAACTTCCTTTTTTATAAGTTAAATCAGAGTTGTTTTTCTCATTTAAACTTAAGCTTTTCTTAAGTCGTATCGTAACTTGTGTTACCTTGCATCTTTCTCCAAGGAACGTACTACAGGTATTCACTGCGGCAAACCAGGTAAGATGCATGCCCAATATACTTATTGTTAGTACAGATTCTTTTACCATCTAATTTACTTAACGGTGTATTTGATTATATTCTCGAATCACGATCTCGAGAACCCTCCGAAGAACAGGAGGAAGGTAATAACACGAGAACAAGTATTTTTAATAATTTTTAATACCGGACTTACATATAAGGCGTATGTCCCTTGTGTCAGTCCAGCCACTTCTCCCATTACTATTAACTATATTTTTAACTACTTTATTTTTTATTTTTTATTTCTCTTATTTTTGTGTTATTGCAGAATGTTCGGGTTATATATTTATTAATATTTTCATTATTATTGAACTTTGTAAACGAATTGTTCAGTAAAAAGGATCGTCAATAAAAATAAATCAGTCATAATTAACGTTTTAACTGAAACGTGTGTACCCGGCTTTAAATGTACCAAACTGATACATTGGATATTGATACTGAATTTTGTATATATAAAATTTGAACGACTGAAAACAATCTTTAACTTAACATTAAACTCGTATGGGTAATTAGAATATCTGAGAACAAAAATTGACATTGTACAGTAATACATCTAAAAAACGAATATATTATATATATTGTTATATTGTAGATTTGTAGCGTATTACTTTATATTTATAAAGTAATAAGATTGAATTCCCTCGCTGGATGTATATTATGTTGCTTCGACAGTGTCAACCTATGATTGTTACGGTCTGGAGATATGTGAGCAGTTGCTCGGCATTGTCCCTTCAGTTTTTTTTTTTTATAACGTGTCAAGTAGCTAAAAAATTATGTATATAATTTATAGAACTTTTTTAATAAGCTATTTTACAGTTAATACTAACATTTTATTCTCTGTTTCTTTGTTCTTGTAGTACATAAATCACAGATTATTTCTTATTATTTCTGTGCCTCTTTGAACACCTAGTACCGTGTATAATTTTGAAACAACTGGAAGCAGAGGATCTAGTATTAACAATTAAAAATTAAATATTATCTTAGAAGCATACTAAATAGTCATCTAGATTGTGAACCGATTTTAAAACATCTCTATCTGCAATATAAACTAATTAAGTGAAACACAATTATAGGTAATGATAATCAAAATTAATACATAAATTAATACTTACATGCAGACTTTCAAGTTAAATAGGATGTAAATTTACAGTTAAACATACCATTATGCTCGAAATTAGATTCATTTTGCACACCATAATTTGATCATGATTGATTACGTCTAAATAGTGTAATGATGTGCTTACAAGCAATCGTAATTAAATATTTATATACTGTATAATAAAATAAATAATTATGACCTTTAGCTATAGTCATTTATTAATATAATCATGTATGACAAAAATTAAATATTTAATTACAATATAATAAAATGACCTATAATCGGATCATAAAAACAATAGATAAAACACACACACACACACATAGGATATTAATTATAAAAAGGCCGGTCACTGCCGGTCACATACACAGTGTTTTTATTGTCTTTTTGTATAGACGATCACAAGCGAGAGTAAAAGACTACGCAGATCGTATATACAAGAAGACATAAGCATTGAAGATTGTTAATAGTAAAAATTAAATAAATATCATGTATTAAAAGTTTTATAATAAAGTTAATGAGTTAAATTAAATAAAATAAGTGTTGTAATTTCTTAACGCATACCGGTTAGGTTAGGTATATATATATATTGTATAAAATTTTGTTTTGGTCAAAAAGTGAATCGGCCTAAAAGAAGAGGGTACGTTTTTGGTCAAAAACGGCCATGCCCTAAATAGTTAACAGATATAATTTTATTATTATAATTTATAATATTTTGCTATAGAACTTTTTTGAATACATATTGAACTTTTGGAAGCTAAGCTGCTATTTTTATGGTTTGATATCCAATTATTAATAAATAATTGTAGTCAATCATTTATCTAAATCAAAAAGTAGATTGCAGTTAATAATAATTAACAAGGAAATTTTATATTTTTATTTTATTGCGTAAAACTATTTAGAAAAGTGGTGTTTTAGTTGATAAACACAATATTTTTATGTTTTTAGTGTTAGAACTGTAAATTACAGTCTGTAATGTAATAAAATAAATTATAAATACTTACTATGTTCCGGATTGATAACATAATAATCATGATCATGCAAAATATCAAAAATATCATAATCTAAACAAATATGTAAGTAATTTATTATATTTAAAACAACGAATTATACTTTGAACTTGTATATGATAAAGGTAATACTGCCTATTTAAATAATTTGTTAATTTTTGGTGTTTTTAAAGTTTTTAATACAATTTTAAAACTTACTATTTAAGAAGATCTGAGAAGAAAATCACAACTTACCATAACTACATCTATCTTAATATATTAGATAATTGTTTATTTATTTGGTATTCAAATAAAACTAAATCAATAGATTTGTGTCAGTGATTAAAAAATAAATGTTATTTATTATGTAAAAAAAAAAAATGTTCTTTTAATTCTTTTTGAATCAAAAAATTAATAAGAAATACATATTCTGTGGTGGTTAGTTCAATTTAAGAAATGGTTTTAAAAAGAATTTAAGTCAAAAATGTTAAACTATGTCCACTATAATATAATATTTTTGTTTTAGACAATAAAAAAATGATATTTTTACTAATAATTATTGTATTTGTACATATAGTTGTGATAATTTATAATTTACAACAATGTGTATAAAAATAAAAATAATAATTTGGAGAAACAGTATTCAAAAAGCATTAAAAATACTTAAATATTGTATTCAAGTACAGTAGAAATCACTGTAACAAACATCACTTGGGACGAGATATTACATACAACGAGCAAAACATCAGGTCCTGACACGATTCATGTTAATATATAAGTTACCAAAATCCATTTTTTTTTCTCAAGTTAGCAAAACTCAACAAAACTCAACGAAATTGTAAAATGTAACTTGTAAGTCGAGGTTTCAAATGAAGATATGAAGATCATGAAAATTAGAGGTTCTGAATAAAAGCACGGGATCTGAGTTTTTGTATAACTTTTATCAATTAATTTAAATAATTGAACTACCTAATAAATTTTAGACTTTTATAATTTATCCGGCCCTTATCATTTATCGGACAAGTGCCATCGGCTTACGTGGTATATAGTAGTGTATACTCATAGAAGGAGTATCCGGACAGGATAAAGGAGAGTAGTACGGTGAAAGCAGTGATATAAATTATCTAGTACAAAATATTATTCTAATAAAATAGTAAATATATTTAAATAGATATAATAGTAGATTATATTGTAAAATTAAAATAGTAGACACTAGACAACTTTAGCGACAAGTATGATGAATGATGATACTATTGATAATAAGATACGATAATAATTAGTATTACAGTATACTAAGCACAACCTGGTTGGCAGCCACTGTTTCCCACGAAAACTACTAACATACTCCGTCTATGAGTATAAGCATTGATTATATATACTAGTATATATAATCAATGGTATAAGGTCTATGCTAAAACTATACTGTAAGTTATATATGTGTATAAAAGTGGTCTGTTCTGATAACGTGTAATGACGGGCTGATAACGCGCGCATCCCGTATAGATAGAGGAGAGATGGGGATGTAGATACTTAGTGACGTAGGGAGTCGAATGGAACCGCAGTATAGGTGGGGTGATTTATGCTTAATTACTTTGCTGTAGGGAATTGTAGGGGGCTAAAACAGGGGGGGGATCAAGAACCGGCTATTTCGTACTAATACGAAATATTATTATTATTATAATGCAATTTTAAACGTAGAAACTATAACAAAAATCGCGCCGCTGAATACTAATGTACGTGCGTGCGACTATGGACGATAAATAAAATTGTCATCTTCATAGTTTTATCAACACATGTTACTCGAACGACAGCCCGATGCCCACTCCATAGTTATCCACCGAGTGATTGAGGAACGAGCTCAACGACACGGTCAGCCGATTCTCCCGCAGCCGCTTTTCCCATAAGCTGCTGACAATGCCTTTCGTGTCGATAGCGGCCCTGAACACGGACGTATCCGAAATTATGCGAAAGGCTAATCGAGAAGTGGCCTCTGAACAGGCCGGGTCCAGGTTGACTGTGGTGCCCGTTTGCAGCCAATCAGTGCAATGACGATAGTACGCCAGTTTGGTTGCCCCACTTGCCATATTTAACCTACCACTGACCAGGTAAGAGGGCCCTGCGTACTTTGCCACAAGTTTTGGCTGTAAATGAGACTTGTCTAAATCGCACGGAGTATCCCTCTTGAACGCCAAAATCAAACCCAACGAAAGCTCATCTGTCACGGACTGTCGAAGTACACAGACGAGATAGGTAAGTAAATGCAATACACGATAATCGTAAAAATATAAAAGAATACAATTTATTATTAGTTAGGGATTAGTCAGTTTTTATTTTTAACTTGCAATTCACTAAAGTTCATCCTAATATATTTTTGTTTTCACATGTATTTAATTTAAAAATATACACTGTTTCTTGTATAATAATAAAGGAAATGTGCATTGAACACAAATACAGTCAGTAAAAAAAAAAAAAAATTTTAAAATGAAAAAGAAATACATAACAAAAATTATTAACAGTTATGTAAATAAAAATATCCAGATATAGTTGGTATACTTATAAATGTTATTTATTTTATTATTATTTAAAAAAAGAAAGTAATAATAGGTATGAAATAAGTAAAAACTAATAACTAATAATATAATAATATAGTATAGACATATAGTTTCACAAAATATAATTATTAATAAAAATTATACTGTACAGTAGGTACATCTTTTACATATTCACATTATTGTCGTTAAGTGTTTTTTTATTCTATTTTTCCAATAAATGCTGATTACTATTATATTATACTAAAATTAAATAAATTTAATAGTAAAAACCAAATAATTATTATATAATATACTAAATTACTAATAATATTCTGATTTATGACATTAAATTGTATGCATTGATTATTGCCCATGCTGGCACTAATATATTAAAATCATGGATGTGGTGGATTTCTCATATATATTATTATTAATGTATGAAATATAAATAGTATAAAATTTAAAAAATAAATACTTTTATTTGTATTCAAATACTTTACGAGTGTTCATAAAATACATTTTTAAAGTATTTTTAATACTTTTTTATCCGAATAGTAATAATATCTCAATATTTTATCAAAAATATTTTTTACAAGTCTGATAATATTATAGAGTAACCTGAAGTATAATAGCACACTTTTTATTTAACAATAGTTATGTGGTAATATATACAAGTTTTTGGCATATTGTGATGTTGTTATCCTATGACACATATACCGTAAATTAAATTTTTCGAGTCAAAAGTTGATTTTACCAAAACAATTACCAAAAATTCTAAACAATTAGAAATTTTAATTAATGAGTCTTTTTAACCCGTGGATGTGGTAAAAGTGCCCACCTAGTGTGGTAAAAAGGCGCATGCTAAATTAATTCATAAAAATCTATTTTATTTATCTAAAACTGATTATTATTTTATTTGTTATTATCAAATTAAATAAATGTAGGCAGAACAAATAAAATGAAAACAACTTTTTAATTTAGGTATAGCATAATATCACAATATCACCTTAAAAAAATAAAATTAAAACAATAACAACTATATATATATATATATATATCAAGCAGAAAATAAACAACTGTCAACTAGTAAATATAATAAACATCTTGTTATGAAAGATATAATTAAACAACGTAGATATTCATTTTGAAGCTATAAAAATAAAATGTTTTTAAAATTATACTTTTATTATTATCTATAGGTAATCGGATAAGAAATACTGCACACTTTTGCCATATTCAATAAGCCATACGACTCCAATATGATTTTTTACATAAATAAAAATGTAGTAAATTAAGTTGTTATGATATCAATATTTTACAAGTATTGACGTATAGTCTCCTAATTTTACTATACGAAAATAAATAAAAGCAATACATAACGTGTCATTGATTAGTAGATATTTATAACTACTTCTATTTTACTAAAATTTAACATGAAACAAACAAAATTAATAATCTAACTTCATATTGACGTTAAAACAGCACCAACTACTGAAGAAAATGTTTTATCATGTTTAGCTATGATAATTAAATCATAATAACAAAATAGCTTAACCAGATAGCAAATATTAAATTATTCATACATAATAGTTCATTTTGCCCCATGCGCCATTATACTCCGGGTTACTCTACTTGTATATTGAGTTTTCCTTCCATGAACTAAAGTGATAGACAAACCACATTCATTAAAATAGAAATGTTTAAAACATTATAGGTTTCCTGTCTAAAAGTTTTAAGTTCTCTTGCTTTTGCTAATAAAGCCAATCAAAATAAAAAAATTGTACTTTTATTTATTTTTATTATTCACTACTCGTGCAGACAAGTCATGTAACAAACTAAGTCTGTATGCATTCAAATCCTTAAAAATGCGACATGTTTATCTATGGACTTAAATTTATTGTCGAAGTGTAGATAGATTTTTATAGTAAACATTTACCAAAACATATAATATTACAATATATTAACTTTGCTTGCAAAATTTGGAAAGAACAGTCTTTCAACACTAGATCGATGGACAAGAACAGAGTACGGTCAGGAAACCAGTAGTCTAAATTGATTGGACATGAATAATTAATTTTTAAGAATTTGCTAATCAAATTTGTAAATCTCTAAATTAAAACTTCATGAGACACATTAAGAATTTTGAAAATCCTCAATGAACCAATGAGGTAAATGAATTTTAATGTCAATAAATCAAACCCTGTGCAGAATTGTACTAAAAATTCAAATGAACTAACAAAAAGAAGAAAGGTTTTTAATTATGCTAATTATGAAATAAAATAATTTTAAGTTAAAAATATAATAAAGGTAGATAGAAAAAAACGTACAAGTACAATTAAAGCTACAATAACGTCGAATAACACAATGGATTACTTTAACTAGCTACCTTCACTAATTGTTGAATACTTGTTTAAAATTCTTCGAATTGGAAATTCAAAAATATTATATCAATAAATATATCAATTTAGACCTACAAGTTCAACATACTCAGCTGCAACTCCTGTGCATGTGACCTATTTATATAATATATATTGGCGGAAACCTTGAATATTATTATTATTATTTGTAATATTAATTATCAGTTATAAAAATATTTAGTTAATTTATTGAAAATTTTTAAGAACTAGCAGATTTGCAAAAATGACTGTTTCTTCAAAACGCTTGTTATGTTGTGAACTTGAAATAAATTCATTGACGTTTCTTCGTTATTATTTATATAGTAGTGCTACCAAAAAGGAATAGATGAATAAAATCTAGTATATGGTCTATATTTTGTTGTTAAAATTAAAACGTGTTTGATAAAGTAAGAAGCCAAAATCGGAAAGTGACTGTAATTAAATTTTACTTCAAGGATAAAAAAAAGTCAAAACCCATACAAGTATACACCATGTGAAAATACCAGTAAAAATATACATTCTTTATCAACAAAATAAATATGTAAAACTTGTATACACACAATACCTTTTTTCAATAATTGAGGATGACGGAAGTAACAGTAGAAAGGTGTATCAGTAATTTTCAATTGGGAAATTCACTAAAAATATGGCAACAATAAAAATCGAGACAAGAACGTTTTATTGACTTGCTCTTCTACCGATTTAAAACACTTTATATTCAAAAATTACATTTTATGATGGTGTCATCACTGAGTTATCTGTACTCAAATCACACAAAACATTTTTTTAAAGTTTTCTACAATGCAAAATATTTTCGTCATTTTCAACCTTTCTGTAATTCTGTATGATCGTATTATTTATTTATTATTTTTTTAAGCCACTATTTATTTTTATTTATTTAATCTTCAAGAAGATAATGAAGGCTTAAATTATTTAAAATAAAATAACTGAAAATATTCGTGAGCTTATATTTTAAAATACAAATTCCATAAAATCATAGATAATGTAAATGTATCTTAATATGACAATATATTTTCTTATACAACTAAAACATAATATAATTTAATATATATTTTTTATTCATATGAGTATACAATGAAACATTACAAAGGCGCCCATATAAAGGGGCAAGGGAAGGACATTTCCCCCCTTATAAAATGTTGAAAAATTGTTTACACAAGATCTACAATGAGTGAAGATAAACTTGATAGATTATGCATAATAAGCGTACATAGGGAAAAAATTGATGATAAAATGAATGAATATACATAGAACAAGTAATAAATATATTGGGTGTTAAAAAAAGAAATTTACAATTTTTACTTGTAAATTAATATTTTATTAAATATATGTTATTAATCAAATGACAATTCAATAAATAACTTTTATGGTTAATTAGTTAAATAATTATTATTTCATAATCTTCCAATTTTATATATAAAATATAATAGTATAATGTTAAATTGTAAGCCCTTTCTATCTCATGGACATAATTAAAATTTTGTCCCCCTTGAGAATTTTTCAATGGACGTCCTTGAAACATTACATGATTTAAAATCGTTCAATAAAAAAATACAGTATTAAGCTATTAATAATTAAACTAAAGTCATCATTCGTTTGAGTAATTGTAGTAGCCAAAGTGTATTTCATATTATACCTAGTAATTATATATTCTCTATCGATGTATTATATTTCAGTGCTTTTTTTGAACATTCATTGTTTATGATTTGTGCCTATTTTTTATATACAAAATTATAGCAATTTATGAATTGTTTTCGTTTAAAATAAAATAAAGGTATAACATAATAATTTGCATTTTAGATTCTGAGCAAGACGATAAATTAATTAAATGTATAATAGATTTATAAGAATACATTTTTTTTCAACTCCAGGAGTAGAAAAATGCTTCAATCTAAAACTTATTAGTTACTAATGACCAATTTCATCTAGTAAATACATTGAAAGTAATAAATAAACATTTTTCAAAGTAATCAAAAAATAAATTACGGAAAAATTTATTTATGTTCTGGATTCAGTTGATACTTAAAAATGGTCAAAATTAAATATTCCTAGTAATATTTTTAAATTCAGGAAAACAAACAAAAAATTAAGGAAAAACGGAAAAATATTTACGCTAAATCAATTTTTAACAGAATTGACTTCTTTATTTTGTTATGACTTAAAAATGAATAACCATAGGAATTTGAATTTTCTCATTTAGTATAATCATTTTCAAAATATTTTGACTTTTAAGCTATTATTATAAGCAAATAAATTTTTCAATTTTCAATTTTTCTATAAATGTTGTTAACAATAAATTAATAAGTAAAATTGTTTGAAAATTTAGTAAAAGATTCTTATTAATTTATTTATAATCCAATAAAAAAAATATTGAAAATGTATTGTCACAATATTTTTTATAAGCATCATCAAAATCTCGAAAATTACAAATTATTTTGTATAGTTAGACAAAAGAATAAAGGATACGCAACTTAATTCAAATATTTTATTTTTATGTAAGTAATAAATTTGATAAAGGTAATAATTTTGTCAATTTTGAAGATAAATACTTAAACCTAACAAAAGTCTGAACTAGTGGAATATGGTGGTAATGAAAACATTTCCGGACGAAAATCTTCCAAGGAGTTCAATACATACGTAGCGTTGGCGCTCGACATGTTATGCCATACTGACAATATAGGATCAGGTATCATGATCACTTGCATACCAGCCGCTGAAGCCGCAGTCACTCCATTTGGTGAGTTATCAAACACCAGAAACTATTTAATTTTTATAATTTATTATATATATACTTATGTAAAATGAATGTATCAGGGAGATAATTTAATATTAGATTATTATCAAATTATTTCACTAAATCAGTTCTAATATGTTTAAAAAAAAAGGATTTTTTCAAAAAATGTTATGAGATTAAAATTACTTTAAAATTAAATTTTATATAAAATGTATTTTAAAGTATTTTTGTATAAAATGAATTGAAAAATAACATTTAAAAAAAAAGTATTCTTGAATTTTGAAGAAGCCATAATTGCACAGGTAAATGATAATAGTGAATAATCAACATGAATAATTAGATGTTTATTTTTCCGATTTTTGACGGCAGGAATAGGAAGATATAAGGAAATCATATTATGTAAATTATAGAGCTTTAAAAAATTGATTTATGATTCCTAAATATAAAATGTTCTTGTTATCCCGATTATACCAAAAATTAAATCACAAAGTAATTCGTATGGAGTCTTGGATGAGATACAAACTAAAAAACATCAATTATTATACCTCACTGTTCATAGGATTCCCCGGAAATCTGGAAGCACATACTTTAAATATGTCTGGTGCTGGCTTGCCGTTTTTTACTTCTGGGTCAGAAGAACCTGTGACTACGTGATGGAATACTGAAAATATATCTTTCAAGTGATCAGTTTTCAATCGGTAACTATCCTCTGAGCAACTTGTTGCCACCGCCATAGGAATTTTCTGTTGATGGAAATGCTCCAAAAGGTCTTCAACTCCTAAAGAGTTAACAAATATTAAATATTATTTTATATCAAACATGCACGTAAAATAAATGATATTTATATTATAATTTAACAATATAGTTAAAATTTAAAATAAATTATAGTGTGTTCTTATCCATTAACAATTCCTTCTTTAAATATTATTGTATAGGTTTGATTAAGTAATCATTTGTATAGAATAGATAACTATTAAAAAAAATGTTATAAATAGATACCTAAAGTCACAGCTCACATTTGTTAGACGTATTATAATTACTTTTTTTATGGTTATTGTGGTTTAATAACGAGGTTTTCTTTTCACTGTGTTGTTTAAGTGTAACATATTATTATTATCATTATTATTTTATTATAATTTTCGATAACGAGTGGAATTACGTGATTAATTAACTGTTGAAGTTTTTAAATCATAGATATAGATCAATATGATACCTATAACTACTGTAGCACGATCATCATGATTTAAAATTATTTATATATTTATTATATTTATAAATAATATGAATATTTTATAATTGTATGGTATGTAGAATAGAAATAATATTAAGTGGTAATGACATCAAAACAAGATCGAAAATAGAAAAAAGAATAATAAACAGTGCTAAGTTAACAAATATGGTGCCTAGGGCATATTTTATCATTTCTCCCTGTATTACCCTTCTGGTCACAAAATATATAAAAATAACCACATTTTTAAGGTTTTTAAATAATATCTATTTATATTTTTTGTTATATGTATACATTTTATTAATAATATAATATTAAGTATAATATACATTCAAATATATTATGTCATAAAATCGGCACAACTTAATTTATTGTATTCGCTTTACATTCAGTAAAAAAAAACATTTGGTGTTTAATAAACTTATCTATTGGTAATCAATAATCTAAACATATTTTAATGATTTTATACTTTAAAAATAGTTATGTACTCACTACTCACCATACATGAGTTTTGCGTTTTTTAGTGTTTTTTCTTCCTCGTCGCGAACTTTTTGTATTAATTCTTCGTGTGTCAAATTAAGTTGCAATGTGTTGATTATATAATTAGCAATATCCATTTCTTGTTTTCCAAGAATTTTTAAACTCAAATCATCGGGAAATACTTTACCATAACCATTGGCGATTCTTGTAAACATTTTTCTATGAATCCTCTCCGTATCTAAAATGCGATAGTGTAGCATTAAATAGGCACAAAAAAAAACACTATCACAGTAAATTAAACAAAAACATACCCATTTGTGTAAAACTTACTTTTTAACGAAAAAATAAAAATATTTCTCTTATTATATAAAATTACAAGTGTTTTAATTCATATTTTTTTTATCAAAGTTTTCTCTTCGATCTCTATAGCATAATAAAAATATTAATTACCATTTTCAGAATGATATGAATTTATACTATAATTTATTATACTTAGCTAACAAAAAATATTTCTATCAACGTTCAAGATTTAAATATCACCAATAACAACGACCTCTATTTCAATTTTAAAATTTTGAATGTAATTAATTTTACAGTAAATTATACTATTCATAATTACTTCTTCGGACGAAATATTACAATAAATTAGTTAACACTAATTGTTAACCTAACCATTGTTCCAGTAGAAGCTTTCGAGTATATTTCCATAAAGAAAGATGGGAATATTATTCAGACGTCATACCCACAACTAAAACTTGATATTCGTTGCTTTCAGAATACCAATTGTCATTTCATTATTCAATGTGATTTTTTAAGTTAAGGCAAATGTCCGATCTACTAATCAATGCAGTTGTTGCCTACGTTTTGAACATACTCAAAAAATAATTTCGTGGTGATCCAAGATGTAACGACTACAATAAAGACAAAAAATGTTTTCCCATCCATTAAAGTCACCAACGACTGACTTGTTTGTTTCTTCTGCAATTTGTCACATTTAGTCACGGATCGCAGTTGCCGAGAATAGTCTACTCAAAAGAAATTTAAAAAAAATCATGGATTCTGAAAATATCTCTTATAAAGATGATCTCATTTTTAAGAAAAATAACTGTTGTACTTCTGATATAAATACTAATTAACACACCTCCTATTTCCAAAATTATGAAATCCAACAGTGATAGGCCAACACCTCTCTTCACGATCATAAATTGGCAATTTTTTAGCTTAAATGAAAACCACCACTTTTTCCACTCTGGAAAAATAGAATATAAATTATTCCCATCTCTCAATATACAAAATAAAATTTCCTTACCAGTAAAAACATACAAGTTAATAATAGTTGTAAGTTAACAACTAAATTAACTGCCAAACCAAGACCACACCTTTGAAAGCAATCCAGTCATGTTTTGCATGCTAAACACTTACTCGTATTTAATATACCTTAAAATTTCCTAATATTCATTATCACCATACTTAAAAAATAACTTAACCAATATTGAATATATTGAATTTGCTATTTATATCGTGTTTTTTTTTTTGTTTTTTATTGTATGCTGGTTTTGTTATTTACGATTTTCTTATTTTTATTGTAGTATTCTATATTTTATACTAGTAACTTATAATTTCCTTAGTAATCAGAATCATGATTATAATTTATTTGTTATAAAGTATATTATATTATTATTATTTATTTAATTTTTGTAAAATAGAATTTTTTATTATTTAGGTATTTATGTAGCCATGTAAGTAGTAAATAGAAACTGTTATTGATTGTTTGTTATTTATTATTTTGTTATTCATTAGTACTTACTCGTACTATATTAAATTATAACCAAAAATACAATAATAATAATATATAAATAAGTTGTTCTTAATTTTAAATATTTTTAAATTAGACAGTCAGCTAATAAGGGTACTAACACTATGCTTAGTTGCGGTAGTCAACTATTTGTAATAATTTCACCTACATAGCTATATTATTAATCATTAAATGTACTAGTATATTGTACGACTCAATAGTCAAGTTAATTTTATAAATAATTTATAAGCATTTTACTCACCTAATAGCGTTCCATCCAAACCAAAAATGACGTGTGTCACAGGTTTAAATATCGGTATATTCATTATCGGAAAGTTCGAATGTCTATCACATGATGTGATGATGTATATAAGTACCTATAATTTTACGCTTAAGTTTCTAACACGAAATAATATACTATGGTGTCTACACGTCAAGGTGTGTCAGAGTAAGATGTCTTTGCTGTTTAAAACATGAATTTGGGTAGGTATTGGATACGGAACAAGATAACTGAAAGTTGCTAAGCCAATCAGCCGTGTACGATCTCTCGTTATTTTATATTCCCGCAACTTTTTAAATATTAATTATTTCTAAAAAATTGTTTCTATAATTTATATAATTTCTATATATATAATATATAGGTACAGACAGGGCTAGACTGGACTGGCGAGATACCGGGAATTTTCCGGTAGACCGCTTGTACCAGTAGGGACGTTTTTTTTTAGGTTTATCGATTAAGACTATCATTCTGTCGACAGACAGACACATTTTCTAATGCCATTGTATAATAAAATTGTCCAGTGGTGACTCGTAACTGTCAGACATGGGTATGCGACAAAATATTAAAGAAATTCCTTAAAAAAAATATATAATAACTTCAGTATTCAGAACGATGTAGTGTGCTCTTTAATATAAGTAATACGTAACAAATAACAATTTAGTTTATAATATTCTTAAATTAACACTGTACTCTGAATATAATATACGTAAAATAGATATGAAAAAATGTATAAATTGTCAAAAATAGATGCTTGTGTGCTGTATCATATTGTCTTCGTTAATCGGTCAATTCATTGAGTCAAGATCATTTGGAATCATTTATGCTTATATCAGCTGAATCTGATATTTTAATAGCGTTGAATAATGAAATCATAATCAACACAATTGCGCATAAGATCTCAAACCTTAACAAATTGCTTAATATGTATAAATATAATTATCGAGTCTAACATATTATGTATTTTAAATAAAAATGATAACATTTCTTTGTACTAACCAATTTTTAATAATAATTTTAAGTGTTCAAATTGGTTCTCAAAATAATATACTATCATTTTATGTGAAAATATGTTTTTTAAGGTTGTTTTTATAGGTTTTCCTAAGTGAGTCAATTAATTTTTATTTTCCCGGTAGACATTTTTGAACCAGTCCTGGGACAGACTACAGAATAGTAATAAACATAATATATTCTTTGTTTAATACGAAATAAAGTTTTTTTGATAATTATTTTAAATTAGAATTTTTTATTATTTTATCGTGGATGTTAAGTATTTTAAAACCTATATATTTCTAGAAAATTTAATTTTGGGTGTCTAAAATTTAAGATTTGACAAAATTTCACTTACATTTACTATTTAAGCTTAAAATATCAATTTTTCATCTAACTAGATTTATATTTTAATGTATTTCAAAAAAAAAAAAAAATAACGGTAAATAGTTTACGATGCTCATATGTTTTTATGTTTTGCACTTTCTCTACATGGTATAGTTTTTAAAATATTTTTAATTGCTTTGAACTATTTATAGACATTTTACTATTTTTTTTTTACAAATATCAATTAAAATCTTTTTGCTTGATTCAAAAAATTTGAAAATTTTATGCAAGGTTCTTTATAAATTTATTATTAGATAAAGACATTTAAAACATTAAAGTTACATATAAGCACGATTTTTTGCTATAATCATTTTTTGAAATTCAAATGTTTGCTAACTTTTCTAAATCCATTAAAATATTCATATAATTTTAAAGTTAAAAATGTATGAAATGTTCCACTTAAATAGCCAACACTCGAAAATTAAATACAGGTCCTTTATAAGTATATATACACATAATTTTTTTTATGGGAATTTGAAGTTAAAATTTGGATGAAATAATATTTTTATACAATTATACCAAGAACAACGATTTTAGTTATATGTTTATCATTTAAAAATATTATTCGTGAGTACTTGAAAATTTTTAACATATCTATATATTTACTATTTATATTTTAAAAGCAAATGTTCAAATGCAATGTTTGTATTATATTAATATGTTGTAAAATAAATTTCTTTAGTAACAATATAAATTAATATAGCTAAATAGGCAGACCTATAGGTGTCAGCTCAGAATTTTTTTCATGTGCAATAATTTTTTATTGAATTCAAATTTGACACGTACATAAATACATTACATTATTTTACTATATGATGAAATACATTTGACACTTACTGTACAACGCTCAGTTACCTCCTTTAAACTAATCAACGTTTATTTAATAAATATATTAAACTGGTTATGTAGATATCTTAACTTAAAAGTTAAAATTAATTTAACTCTAAGAGAACCTATATTAAAAATATAAATTATTTGAACATTAAATATTTCAAGCGATTGTAAGTATGTATTTACAAGTATTTATGTAGATACACATAATTGTTGTTTAGACTTTATACAGAATAAATAAGAATACAAGATTTATACATTAAGTTCATGATTTAATTTTTTTTTTTTTTTTTTTGTATAATTTTTCGTGTTGTATTATAGCATTCTCATGAATTGAAATATAAGGCTTTATATTTTATAATGTCCATTAATTTTCCTTAATTTTTTTTTTAATCAAATCGTTAAACGCTATTATACCTCATAAAAATAAATAGTTGATTTCATTAGTTTTAATTGTTTTTGGCATATTTTAAGTTATCACAGAGTTCTGGCTCATCATTTAACATACTTGTAAAATGTTGTAGAAACTAACCAAAGCTGTTGTCAGTTAGATCCATAGACCTTATACTCAGAGTATAAGGTCTATGGTTAGATCTAAAAAATAATTCAAGATGACAAGTCGAGCACGATAGTATTCACAGAAAAGCTGGTTCAATCTTCAATGTAAGTTCTGTATATAAGCAAAATCATTAATACAGACTTTTGAATTTAATAACTTTTTAATATAACAAATTATTATTTAAATTAAATTATACTATATAGATATCTATATATCAACAAAAATTAACAGCTTTTGTATGCTTAAACTTAATAAATAAAAAATAATAAGTCATTTTCTTAAGAAAAAAAAAAACCAAAAAGAAAAAATAGACTAATAGTAAAGTAGTCAATTAAATGATGGTAAACCAAATGCTTCTGGAACAAAATCTTCTATGCTGCCTAATACTACAGTTGCTTCAGTACACAAATCTTTTGATAATAAATTATCTGGTATCATAACTGCTTGCATGCCTGCTTCCTTAGCTCCACGAACCCCATTAGGAGAATCCTCAAAAACTAAACACTGAAAATAAAATCACTGGATTAATGAGATTTTAAGTTATTAATAAATATCATGTGTATGAGTAGATACCTTATTTGGATGTGGTTTATCAGGAAATCTAGAGGCACACGTGAGAAATATATCTGGTGCAGGTTTTCCATTTTTTACCTCTGGATCAGATCCTCCAGTGACAACATGATTAAAAAGAGAAAACAATGATTTATGACGAGAAGTTTTTAAGTCAAAACTTTTTTTAGTGCTGCTAGTTGCTATAGCAAATGGTACTTTGTTTTTGTCAAGATGATGCACAAGCCGATCTACACCTGAAATTAATTAATTAATAATTTAATAATAGTAATAATATCATGCTTAAATATGGTAAATTGGTACGAATTTAGGCAACAAAAAAAATAATATAGACAATTTAACTTTTTAGATATAAATTTAAAATTCATATTTTAAAGATTTTTTTGGTGAATAGGAAATCTATTTTATAAACCTGGTAGTATAGCAACGTCAGATAAAACTTTATTTTCAATTGCATGAACCATAATAATGAACTCTTCAATTGATATTGGCAAATTTAATTCATTCACTACCATCTTGGCTCCGTCCAATTCTGGTGCACCTAACACCCTGTAACGTAAATCAAGATTGTAGGTCTTACCAAATTTAGATGCCACTTCTGCTACAGATTTCTCATGTATTTTTTCAGTGTCTATATTTACATAATAGCAATATATATAGTTGATTATTAAAAAATTAAATGTAATATTAATATAATCAATTACCTAGAAGTACACCATCCATATCAAAAATGACATGAGACACAGGATGTAATTTCTTGGTAGTAAATGAACGACTAACATTTTTAACAATTTGAGTAATTTTTATAGGTAGTCCTGAAATGTATTTAATTATTATTATACTAAATCCAATTAGTTAGTATGATAAACTTACTCATTTTTCTATGAAAGTTTAAAAGAAATTTATTCAAAGCAAAATATTATATAATCAAATTATTTATTTATCAGTTACAGTGATAAGACTAGATTGTTAACAAACAGCTGTTTAATATAAGTCACTAAAAACATAAGTTATAATTTAAATAATTTTAAATAATAAATATTAAAAATTCTATTTTGTTTACTAAAAATAATAATATTATTAAACACAGTTTGTTTTATGAATTTTTCAATTTGGACTATCATGGAAATGGAGGTAGTCCAAAATCTTCAGGCTTAAAGTCCAACAATGAAGATATCACTTGAGTAGCATGAGAAGTCATTTCTATAGGAATTATTTTATCTGGAACCATAACAGTTTGCATACCAGCAGACCTTGCACCCGTCACCCCATTTGGAGCATCTTCAAATACTAAACACTGTAATTATTAGAATAAATATTTATGAGTATTATGAAGCTAAACATGGTAATAAAGTATTAGAACAAACACCAAAGAATAATATACTTTTTGTGGTAGAGGTTTATCATCAAATCGTGAAGCACACACTAGGAATATGTCTGGAGCTGGTTTTCCCTGTTTGACTTCTGAATCTGCACTACCAAGTACAATGTGATGGAATTTTGAAAAAATGTGTTGATAGTTTGCTGTTTTTATTTTGAAAGTATCTTTACCACTACTTGTGGCCACAGCTATTGGCACATTGTTGGTGTATAAATGATCAATTAACCTTTCAGCTCCTGAAAACAAGCTTTACATTACCGGTAAACAATAAATCATACACAAATTAGACTCAAACCTGGTAAAAATGGAACATTTTCCATTTTTTTTATCTGATTTTCATAGAATTCAGCAAGAAGATCAACAGGACTTATGTCCATTTCCAATTCTTTTATTATGATCGTAGCCGTATTAATTGGTATCGTGCCCATAACTTTGACTCGTAAATCATTAGGGTAGTCCTTGCCATGATTTTTCAGTACTTCAGTAATGCTGGACAAGTATACTTTCTCCGTGTCTGAAAAGCAAAATCGACAACATCATTACTTTATACAATGATATTTCTTATAATAAATTATTCTTTTAACTTCTAGGACAATATAAAGATACACAAAAACATTTTTAAAACGCTCATACAATTGAAATTATTAGATAGGTAAATTACTTACCTAAAAGCAAACCGTCCATGTCGAATATGACATGAGTCACAGGCGTATACTTGGACATGTTATTATTTCGATTTTCGGCGTTGCACTTTCGACCCACTCGGACAACGAAATAAATAAATAAATATATAATATATTAAAGTACTTTAAGAAGAAAATTACGAACTCCTCGAAGACGTATTAATTGGTACGTATTGGTAATCAAAATTATTTAAATTTATTACTATTCGATTTGTCTATTTATATTCGCTAGAATCACACGCCCAAAACCACTGCCGGTAAGTTAGAAATTTTTACACTCGCCTAACGCTACACTATTATATTATCATATTACAGCTACTGTAGACTGTAGTACAATCTATAGTCTATACACTGTTGTATAGTGTATACATAGAACTCGGCACTCGACATTCGACAATAGTCATTAGTCCGTATGTCGTGTGGTGGCGCTGCTCTATTTCATTTTCGTATTTTTGTCCTAACCCGATAATCGTTATCATAAATATTATCAATGATATTATAATTATAAACACAATCCTAACTTCGCTGTCTGAACAGTCTGATATCTGATATAATATCATAATATTATGTTGTGTAATATTTATTTATTATTATATAAAATATAAAACTTTGATAATTATATTAGTGTTATACATATAAATATATAATATATATATATATATAAGTATGGTTGATTACCCCCAATCGGCTATCATAATGGCTCGCCTTATGAATTTATGATACGCCACGCAGACACGCAGTACACAAGTACAGAAACGGTCTCGTAAACATGCTTACAATCATTATAAATTATCTACTTTGTTTATGCACACAACAGTCAACAATGTTATAGGTACTTATAAATCTATGGCCTATGGGTAATGATGCTTTGCAGCACAGCACTAGAGTCTAGAGTACCTACATTTATGGCAATGACTTTAGATACATTTATTTATCATGATCGCATTTTAAGAAGTTCGTCGATTTAAAATAAAACTAAAAATATTAAAAAAACAAAAATTACCCGTGATGAGTGAAACAATTAATTACGTGACTACGTCAATTGAGTCGCGAACCGAACCCGGTTATTAATAACAATTAAAAATATTATAATAATATATTGATATGTGAAATTGTAAATAGCACACAGTAATTGATGTCGATGTAAACGACCTTCTGCTAACTCTATCGTTTCATAACACATAACACGTTGTTATTGTGACAATAATAAGTAGGTATAAGTGTATAACCTAGGGTGATCATATTTCAAAAAATAAAAACTGGATAAAAATAATAATCATAATATTTATTATATTATATTTTTGTTGATTTTGAACTGTACTAAAATATGATTTTTAAATTATTAAAAATTAAAATTTAGACTCATAAAAACATGATTTAAAAAAAAAAAATTATATGGTTAAATTAAATTAATACTTTTTAAAATTTCCTTTAATCATATATATTACATTAAAAAAAAAAAATGTAAATTGTAGATACGGTACTATTAGTCTATTATAATACAAACATTTCAAAATATATGTGATTGCCGATAGGTCATAAGACGACGCAATATAGATTAATAAAATATTTATTTATTAATAATAAAAAAATTATTATAATTATTAGCATTTTATAAGGAACAGGTTGCGGCTAGTTGGTAAATATAATAGGTAGGTACTATTATACTTATACGTACGGTTACGTCACCCGCGTCACCGACAACAATGTAATTCAGCAATAATAAAATTATAGTAAGAACAAAAATCCAAAAATACTACTGAAAAGTATAGATTCTTATATTATTTTATTCAATAATGTCATACAAAAATATAGTAGTAAAAGAACGATTTTTTTACAAAATCAATTTCAAAAGTTATAAATTATAACAGCAAGGCAAAAACGGGATTAATACTGGATGGACTTGAAATTTGAAAATATGAGACAAAAAGCGTCTTGAAAAAAGATTGTCAGATCAACAGGACACAAAGTTAAAATAAAGAACAATTCTGTATAAAACAGGACGTATGGTCAGAGGTCATCCTAGTATAACCCTACATGTATAAGGTGATCAATTTAAGTATATAAATATAATCATCTACAAGACTACGCTTTAAATTCTTTGTTTCAGTCTTAAATTTTTTGAAAATATTTTTTTTACATAATATTTAAAAAAAAATAATTATATTTTTCTATACATTTTTTTTATCGTTGTCATTTTTCAATTTTTACTTTTCGTAAGAATATACTTTTTTAATTTCATACCCCAAGCAAATTAATTTGCACTAATTCGATTAAGAAAAATCGATTTTTGAACAAGTAATCAATTATAGTTATAAAGGGCTCCGCGTTCACACAAAACAGTCCAGAAGCGACACGCTGCGTGTAGCGAATTCAAAAATAAATCATACTGTGTTTAGATATTATTCCGTATTCGCCATAATAATGCAATTTGCATTTTACAATACAGTGCACTACATGCATTATCTTGAATCATGGCAGTAACTAGTAACTGTTAATATTTACAGCTCAGTTATAAATTATAACTTATAAGTAATAAGTAGTGGCTCAACTAGCTTAATTGTTTTTTTGGGGGGGACTGAAGTCCCACATTTTTTGTGACTGACACCGAATAAAATGATGGTAACTTTATAACACAGTGTTGCTACTAACCAATAAAAAAAAAAACAAGACGTATTTTTTTATAAAAAAATCAGTATTTACTATTTTTCATGAACAAAACAATTTTAAAAGTGTTGAACATTTTTGGGGTCTAAGTCCCCCCAAGTCCCCTTCCTATTTGCGCCACTGGTAATAAGTATACATAAATAAAATTTTATATGAGTGTTGTAAGTACTAGACAGTAAAATACTAGAATGGCGCGGGTATCCAAAAAAATGTTATTTTACTTCTCTGCTCATCTAAATTTTAAATACTTATAAATTATAACTATGGTCATATTTATGACATGTGGGACATTTGCATTTGTCCCACTCGAGTTTCCCACCGACAACGGGCAAACAAAATTAGTTATGTTTGTAAATATGCATTTTTTACTCAGCAATACTGAATAATATATTAACAAGTTTTTAAAACAGAAAGCGAAAAAATATTTGTAGATAAAATTAGAACTTTGATAAAATTAGACTGAAAAAAATTAGTTCTATAAAAGTATTATTAAAATCAAAAATATAGTTGTTTTTTAAGAAAATGTTAATTTTTTTAGTTTGTGAAATTATAATATAAATATTATGTTATTAAGCGTTGGTATTTAAAAATGTATAGCGTTCTTGTAGATATATTAAATTATTATGTTTAAACTAATATTATATGTTCTATTTTATTAATTAATTTGGGGATCTATCATTTAAATTTTTTTACTGGGTCTATGAATTGGTAAATCACGTATTAGTAATAAGTAATTTAATTGTATTAATTTCTCTGATGTATGTATCGAAGTACTACCATTGATTATAGAATAGTCTATTCTATAATCAATGGTACTACGTAAAATATTCTGTTTCGAAATATGAAATTAAAAATACATTTATCGCTTTTTTCAAAATCCAAAATATGTATTCATACAAAAAAATGTTGTTTTTCAATGATATCAAATTATATTTTTTTTAAAGTTACGACTTTTGGAATATTAGTAGAAAACCTTTAAATGAATCACCTTGTATACTATCATCTACATACATACAATACAACATATATATAAAAATATATAATAGCGATTTTTCTATAAATTATAATTCATCAAAATATAGTATAATTTTGATTCGTTCTAAAATCTATAAATATATAATAATATTATGCTCTACACAATAAATCACCATAGTGGCGTAACTAGGGCCATTTTATGGTTGATGATATGTATATTTCATAATTGTTACAAATAACATACCTCATAATTTATAATAAATTACAAATTATACTAAGCTTTTTATTTTTATAGTAATATTTTTGATATCCTTAATAATAATGTAAAAAAAGGTCTGCGAGATGATATATCATCATGATTCATGATATAACTCCCTGTAGTTATGCTATACTGATTTACCGTGGAAACTCACATTAATGTTTTAATTTTATAACAAATTTATTCAAGTAATGATTTTTGGAATTTTTAAATTTACTAATGACTTTATTTTAAAAATCTTGTGATTTGTATACTACTTAAGGAGTGTAAAAGTGGCAATATAAACTTCTGTTTTTAAATAATAATCCCAACAAAGACACCTTGCTCCACTCCACATCCACGACAATCCTCCACGAAGACTCAAAATAAAATGGATCAGAGACCTTCTCCATTAAAAACTATTTTCTCCTAAAAAAAAATACCCTTAAGTAGGTAGCTCCATTATGAACTCTCCTACATCGCGCATCTTTCAAGATATGTAAACCACCTACATCATTAATACTTGTTGTGCAAAATGTTGTATAGTTGTATATTTATTTTTCCTAATAAAAAAAAAAATAAATAAATAATAATAATCCCCTTTTTTTATTTTAAAACTACACGTTCAAATGTTGGTTTTGATTCATCAACATTTTCCGCTTAATTGCTTACGGTAGAAAAGGGGATTTGAAAAAATAAAAGTTTGGATCTCCACAGAACACTCTTGAAATAGTGGAAAAAAATCTCAAGAACTTGAGATTAAGGTCATTGAGTAAATTTAAAAGTTCCAAAAATCAAATTTCGAATAACTGCATTATTGAAGAAAAAAAGGGGTGAACGTGGGTAATGAATCACCCTGTATATACTGTATGTAGGCCTAAATGTAAATTTTTACTGTCATCGGCGGGTTTCCTAATCTCCATTTGGCCTTCAACCGGACGCGCTTACCTCAAACGGATCGCCGGCGATTAACGTCCAAAAAACGATCCGTACGGGTTTCACGCGTAATACTAAACAGTAACTAATGGGCAATAGCGTGTTAAGTACAAACGCCGTTCCATAACCAGTTTATAAGGCAAAAAAAAAATGAAACCGTCACGGCCGTATGTCCGCTACGACTGTGGCAGTTTGCGCTGGTACACCAGTATTCTGCCTCCCCACCAACGGACTTGCCCCTCGTCGTCGTCATCGCGTGGTCGTTTTTTTGCGCGCGCCGTTTCTCGACGTGTCTCGTGTCTGTCGTCTGTGGTCGTTTATGCGCACACTGCCGCCGCGTCAGATCGAATAGATTTATTTTGAATTTCGATCCTTTGTCTCCGAAGTTAATCTAAGCCGGTTGGGTCCCCGACGCGGAAATAGCCAAAAACGTGTATTCAAATTGATTTTTTTTTGTGTCATCTCGCCCGGAATGTCGTCGCAAAATTGTATTGGAATAAATTAAAAAAAAAAAAACGCGCGCGAAACTTCGGCAAGAAAACCGGATTTGTATCGTTGGAACGGGAAAAACGCGCAATTCACGTTTGCCACCCTGAGCCACATGTTGATTACGGTGTGTGATAACCGCTGTTGTTGTTTGTACCCGTCCCCGTCGCCACCGCCGCCGACCGTGTTGGAGGACACTCCCAGTTTTGTTGTCCTTTTTCAAAACTTGAAATTTCAGTACGCGTCTTGATGTACCAGTGATTTCTATGGCCAAGTCCAGGAACGGTCTGACGGCCGTTGGCCTGTCGGTTTTGGGAGCGTTTTTGGTCCTGTTGGCGTTCACGACGAAGAGTTGGTTGGTCACGGATGGCAAATTAGAGCACCCAAAATTCGAAAGGATCGGTTAGTATAGCGCGCGCGCACGCTGGCCCGCCCGCACGGTCACGCCCAAATTAGGGGTGCTCATTCAGTTTTTCGCCCTTTTTTAAGTCCCTCCTGTTGACTATAGAATTTTGCCTATCACAAAATAAATTATTCGCAGCAGTGGTGTCCATAAATGCGCCATCTGTGTTGCGAATTTAAAAATATGCGCTCAAAATATCTTTGCTTTTGTTTTAAAATTATTACTAGGTTCTTAATTTTTGCTCTCTTGTAGTTTTGTACCCCATTGAAATAGGTATAAGCTGTAAAAGTCTTAAATTAGGTTATTTTATGATTTTTTTTTTTTTTTTTTGAAATGTAATTGGTAGAATTATGGCTTTTCATGTAATGTTCTTTATTCTGACATACTGATTTCTATCCATTGGGGTCACTGACTTTTTTTTTCAAGCAGTTTTTGTAGTTAAAATTTGTACCCATGAGAAATATTGAGATTTTTTTACACAATAATATTTTTATACATTAAGCAAGTTTTAAATATTAAGAGAATACGATTATGATTTTAGATAATTGTGCTCAGAATAGAATACAAGGCTGTACATTTTTATATTAATCTCATTTTTGTCTCTTGAACTAGATATTGAGTTTTTTCATGTGTATAATATCTACTATCCATGCTTACCTAATTATAATAGTTTGCATTTTCTTAAGTTGTAAGAAACTGATCTACAAAGTAAAAATATCTCAAACAATTTTTTCATTTGATAATGAGGTTATATCAATATAATTTATATTTTTTAAATAATCCACAAGTAGATTTTTAGGTTTATTAAACATTTTGGTAATACTAACCAACTTTTTTCTTTCTTTTTTTTATCAGTACTAATAAATAACTACATTTTAACCAAATATTATTAAATAGTAATTGTTTCAAATAATTTTTTATACCTATTAGTAATTACCTATGATCAAAAATTTAATAAAATTAAGTGTTTAATTATAAATAAAACTTTTTCATATCCATAGGTCTGTGGGTAGTATGTTTTAAAGAATTTGAAGACTCTCATCATTGGTACGACACACAATTCCATAGTTGTTGGTGGGTGTTTGAAGAAGAGTATTATATTATCTATGATATTTTATTCAAAGGTTTGTTTATGATTTAATTTTTTTTTTTTACTTTTTATATGTATTTAATACTTTAATGTGACATTTTAAATTAATATAAATTCTTTTCCTTAGGTTTTTACATTGCTACTCAGTTTTGGTTCTCAGCTTGTGTTCTCTTAACAGTGTTTGGTTTATTCTACACTACACTTTATATGTATTTAAATAGAGCTTATGAACGCTATGTTCAAATTCTATTTACAGCTGGAATACTTTACATAGCTGCTGGTAAAACATAATATCATTGTTGTCTTATATAGCATACTTATTATTTCATAAAAATAATTTTCAGCTATATGCAGTACTATTGCTCTCATAATATTTGGAATAGATGGAGATAGTAGAGTATGGATGCCACATTGGGAACACAATGATATAGGGTGGAGTTACGGAGTAGCAGTCGCAGGAACTATTGCCCTTTATGTCAGTGGAATATTGTATGTAATAGAGGGACGAGCTCACAAGATTAAACGTCAAAAAATGGCTACCCAAAGGGCCAATTACAACTATGACGCAGATGACTTAAAACAATCGTCTCACACTGACATATAATTTTTCAAATTTTTATTTTCAAAACTTCAGCATCTGCACTTTTTCATTAATTTATTCTTAATGATTATGTATGGTGAGCACTTCTAAAACATAGACTCATTGACATTCTTCAAATGTCTGCATGAACTGTTCACTTTGCTTAGAAAACATTTGGTATTTATTTTGGATAACAAATATTATTAAGTATAGTATGAATGAGCACTTATGGATTTTTATTCTTAAGAATGGCTTTATAAAAATAATTTATTACTTCGTCATTTATAAAGTTATTGACAAAATGTAATAAATTATTTATTGATCTTACTTTGATTTAAATGTGCAATTAATATTAAATAAGTCTTTACAACTTATAAATACAAGAATCTCAAGTATTTAATTTAAAATCTATGAATTTCAATAATAATTGTATGAAAAATAATTGATTTTAAATTGTTCGTACAACTAAATGTAATAATTGAGAGTTTTGTAAAAAAAAATGATATAAGTTAATTTATGTATATTTTTTTATAGTTAGGTTAACAATTATCCGTCCATTTAATTATAAGTTAATTTTAGTAACAAGTGCTACACAATTGCAGCAAAATGTTTAACAATATTTTTACATTTTGATATTCATATTAGGTAACTATATTTTATACTATTTTGTTAAATATTTCTTAAAGTTGTTATGGACTAAAATTGTAATACGTAAAAAAAATTATTCTGTGATTGCATAATTATTGTTTATATAATATAAAGATTTAAGTTGTTCGGATTGAATACTTTTCACAATTAGATTTTATGATTGTTTAAAAATGAAACCATGTCGTCTGTTTAGTATAGTAGTTGAGTAGAGTAGTTCGATGAATGAATTAATGCCGTCCATTTTTTTTCGTTTTATGAATTATTATATGTTTAATTAATGTTATAAACTGGTGAATTAGGTACTAGATCTGAATTTAAAAGAAAATAGAAAACTTAAAATTCATTTAATATGATATTTTATTGTCTTACCAACCTTACCATGTATAAATAATAACAAGTTGTAATTTTTTTCGAAATTAAACAATGTAATCTTTTTAATTTTAAGCTTTCTTTTGTTACTAATTAGCATTTTATGTATAAATTCGAGAATGACTATGATTTTCATATTCCTCATACCAAGAGTACATATCATTTGCTTTATTATTAATTTTACAGCTTTTTTTAAATTTATTTGTATTTTTAAAACGTACATACCAATTGATAACAAATATACATATTATAATATATTTTTATACAAATACAATGCGACTTTTGATTCAGTTTCCTTAGTATGTGTATATGACTTAACCGCCAGTTCTAGCGAAGCGCTGTATAATTTATATTCCCTTTCTGATGAAAACGATCGTTTTGTGGACGTTACATTATTATCATACGTTTCACTTGTTTTTCAGTAACACTAAACGTATGTCTTACGACCATCGAAAAATCCTTGGACGCGCTCAGCGGGACGTCGTTGGCATGTACCCTTGGAAAAACTCGACGTGTACACCTATTGTCTATTCAACGACGAAAAATGTATCGATATAGTACAACGCAATAATTAGAATAGTCGTTCTCATGTGGTCGCGTAGGTTTGTGGTTCTCACGCATAATGGTGCGAATACTAGAAGCCACTCGAAATCCGGAGACCTTCCGACGACCTGGGTTAACCGTACTATAGAAAAGTACAGTGTACGGTATAATAATTTTGTTATTTAATGTTCTTCACCAACCACACTTGTCCTCGAGCTGTATCACTCCGTTTGTCTTTCGACGGCGTAATATCGTGTTCAGTGTGTTCATTATACAAAATATGTTAACATAGCTATAAAAGTATATTCGAATAGTTTTAATAGATTTTAGGTCATATTATGTTGTATAACTTCCACGATGACTATAACGTGACCGTGGCCCATTGGAAAGAAGCAATTGTAGCCAGTGATGGGACTTTTCATTAGGTACAGCTATTTATGCGTGTAACATTAAATATGATTAAAGATAAATAATATTTTATAGTATCTATAAAATATAAATACTTATAGGTAGTAATTATTAAACTCAAATCTGTAATTATGTTTTTGACATTACCAATTTTTTGGGTGTTAATCGATTTAAAAATGCGCTAATACAAATACTTATACCTACCTACTCTATATTAAGCTTATTGTATCTTCTTATGTAGAAATACTTTAGAGACTTGTCAATTCTACCGCTAACCGACTACCGAATTTATCAAAAGTCAAAATATGTGGGAAGTACCTAGTCCAACTCTCAATTTCTAAGTTATTTTTTACAATATTTTTTTCCAAATAGTTGTAACATTCGTCATCCATTTATAATAGATTATAACGAGTTTCCAATTTTCAAGTATGCCTTAAGTTCGATTACAAAATATGTTAAGATGTTATAGATCATAATCATCTCGTATTGAAAACATGCTTAAGGTGAATCAGTACTCCTTTTAGGACTTGGTCCATAAAAATAATTCTAGTAATGGTATCCCTTGTACAGTTGTAGGTACGGTTCATTTGGATGGTAAAATTAGTAATTATGTACAGTCAATTGCTAGCTTTTTTCTTCCTTCGTTTAGCTTACTTTTAGAGCAGTGGCGCAAATAGGGGGGGACTTATCCCCCCCAAATTTGTAATAGTCCCCCCAAAAAAACCTAACCATAATTTTATTCTGTGTCAGTCACAAAAAATGTGGGACTTCATCCCCCCAAAACAATTAAGCTAGTTGCACCACTGTTTAGAGATGTCTCTCATATTTTATTGTGTCAAATAATTGTTCTTTTAGTAGCTATTGTATTGTCGTATTGACGATACCAAGTTGGTATATCTATACTAAAAACTATACAATTTGTCAACCCAGATGGCTTGTCTGAGATATTTTAATGAAATGTTAAGAAATCTGCCATTTACTTTTCGTTGATAAAATTTTTTTTATTTGATGAATGATGACATTTTTTATTTATCCATGTTAAAAATGAGTTGTTCAGTTATGTAACTCTTGTACTTAAGTTTAAGGATAAATAGCATATGAAAAATTATTGATCTATCTCGATTCAGAACGACACATCTAAAATTTTCAAACAGTGGGTTCTAAAAAATATTTTTAGCCACATCAGTCAACTACTTAAGTTCATTATGCTTAATAGTTTAATTTTAAGTACAATTGAAAATCATTCTCAGGTAAACGTAATATTTACTGATCTTGAAGACCTTTAGTCACGTTGAACACAAAATCCTCATGGAAGTACTGTTAAAAACTGGTTTTGGTGAACTAATTTTATCATGGTTTAAATCATTTATATCTAGAATAATCTAACAGGTGAAAATTGATGGTAAAAAATCTGTTATTGTTACTTGTTAATATCATAAGTCGGGCTAAGTCAAGGAAAGCACGTATCACCTTTATTATTTGTATTGCTTATTTTAAGGATTTAAAACTTTTTCGTAAAATATATACATTAGTTGATTGTGTAACATTCCAGGTGGAGTTGAATGCTTTTGTTTTATAATTTAATATCATTGACTTACGTTTCAACATACATAAATGTAAGTCCATGTCTTTTGTTAGATGCCCATCTCATATAAAAAATACGTATTCGATTAATAACTCTTGAATTGATGTGGTTACTACTAAAAAAGATCTAGGTATTCTTTTTTATCCGAATCTTCAATTACATAGAAGAAATGTGCTGTAAAGACCCTTCGTAGTTCATACTTTGGAAAACTTGAAACTATCCTCGCTCAAAATAGTACATATACTGCTCTCTTGTTCTGTACATACTGAAATATGCGTCATTTTTTTTTGGAATTCATTTATGGCAACACATGAAGGAATCTCTCACAGATTAACTAAAGCTAGATTATATATCATAAGCTACTTTATTTTAAAAATTGAAAATACCTACCTACTCTACATGATAACCCCATTAACAAATCAGCTTGGACTTGAGTAACTCATTAGCAGATGGAACTATTTATTATTTTTGCAAAAATTGATAGTTGGATACTTTGATGTTCCTCGTCTCCTATCTGAATTAACTTTAAACTTTAAAATTCTTTGTCGTTCTTCAAGATCTTACTTTTCCTTTATCATTAATTTTATAACAATACTATTATGATACGCTTAATCAAGTTGATCGAATGATGCGTTTGGCTGAGTACCCTATACGTTATTTAGATTATTACAAATAATTTTTAAGAATTTTATTGTACACGTTATAGTTTATTAATACACATCTAATTATTCTAATTATTATTTAATGTTATTTTGTCTAGTAAATTAAGTTTAATTTCAGTAAACATTTATATTTGTGTCCAATTGTTTTATTGGTTATTTTATCAGTTAATTAATTAATAAATAAATGAATATTTTAGATTATTATGGTCATCGTCACCTATTCTAGGTATAAAAATATTTTGAAATTTAATTTTAATCGTTTATTTGTTTCTTTATTATAACGAGATGAATTCGTCTAACTATAATTTCATTGTATAGTTTTGTGTGTCCCACTGTTTAATCACTTTTAGTGTTCAGCTAAAACTCATATTTAGTATTTATTTTAGATTCTAAGCGTAGAGACAAATACACCTGACACTTAATATAAGTCAAATTGCGTGATTAGATTATAGGTACATATTATTGCTGTTATATGTCTTTTGTTTGCGAATATTTTTTGTACTACCTACAAGAAAATTACAAATAAGATTAAATGTAAGTATATTACCTACATACATGAAATAAATACTAAATATTAATCCATATCATTTACAATTGTAGATTTTTCGTTTTTGAAAATGTTTCTAATCATTTCGATTCTCATAAGTTATAGATTACCAAGTGGTATACACACTGTCCGTCGTATACTGTATACTGTATAGTAATGTAAAATGTTTATGGTCCCGGAGTGATGTTGCAGTATCGTATTCATCGCATTACAAAACACGATTTGTAGTTGCTACGTCGTCATCGTCGTCGCCGCCGCAATATAATAATTATTATGCGATGACCGTCGTCGTAGTCACTTACTCGCTCGATTAGCATAACGTGAGTATTGGTATTTATTTTGGATGTACAAATACATGTATATTTTGGTTTCAAGTATAAATTTATGTATACCAGTAGGCCGTAGATGTGACGGTGGAGGCGGAGAGCGAATTGGTAAAAATATGCTAAAACTGCTGAAACCGAAACCGTCGCCGTTGCCGTTTGAATCGGCGCGCCCCGCCACGCGAGACCTAGGGCGTGTCGTCCCCTCTCCTCCCAGACATGGATCGTATCTCTGTCGGTCGTTTACCAGATAATATAACTAACAAACAAAACCATTGAAAACACCAAATTCCGAAGAGCCAACGTTCCGTCGTGTCGGTGTACAACTGCCGTCGCGTTCGTCCGTATTTTTTTATTTTTCTACTAATTTTTACATTACTTTTTTCTCATTTTAATGGTCCGTCCAGGTCACTAATTGTGTTTACTGTTTATGTGTTATTAATCGCCTCGTATTCGTGTTTGTCTTTCCGAGTGATGTGATATCGCAACTACGCCTATTTTTCCACAACGAAGACAGGTTTTTCATTTTTGTATCAATAATTCGTTCGGATTTTCAAGTTTCCACCGCAAACGCTGTCCTGATAACTCGCATAGGTAATTATCTAATATAATTTTATTCGGTCTTTTCGTTGTTGACGTAACACAATAATAATTGATACTTTTGATCTGTATTTAATGTTTTGCGTATTTTTAGATTGATTTAAAATACTAAAAAAAAAAAAACATTAACATTGCTTTTCGCACTAATTTAGGTTTGTCTTGTGTTGTGCGTGTGGCATGCCATTAACAGTTTTTGATTAACTCTCATCGTACGTCGCTTACCAGCATGCCAGGGTCGACAGTTTCCAACAATGACCTGAGGTACACCTATGTCATAATCATTAAATTATAACCATAACTATTATACATGTACCTATCATGTTTATTGTTATTGCCCAATGTCTTAAGTAATATGATTTTATGCATATGTCCTCGTTTTAAACTGCACTCCGAACTGCATCTATGATATACAAATGCTAGATGTAGCCAAAATACACTTAGAAGAATTGATTTCTTATGTTTCTTTTGTTGTTTATGATTTACTGTTAATTATATCATTAGTACATATAAAATAATTATGTTGTTATTGTATGCATGTTATTTAAGGTATATTACAAAAAATGTCCATTAAGTAATCACATTATCCATTTATTCTTAAATATATATATATATATATATATTTAGTAAATAAACATAATTTAATTCATATTCTATTATTTTTACACAAAATTATCTAGTTTAAGTACCTTAGAATACTATTTATGGTTAGAACCAACTTAGTTTTTTTCATACATAAATAGTTACTTTTATAATAGCTTAATGCATGTATTTACTTATAAAAATAAAGCATTTTCATACTTGTGATGTATTATATTTATATATTATTTTAATACTATACTATTGTAGGTAAGTTAGTTATTAATGATTAATAATTAACTCAAATTATTCATTTTTAATTTCTATAAAACATAATTTATTTAAAAACCATTCAATTTTTAAAAGTATAACTATAAACAAACTATTTTGTTTTATGTCTTAATAGTTAAAACCTTACTTTATTTATTATAGATAGTTGGATGATAAATAACTATTAACTAAGCATTCAATATTATATAAACTACTTTTTTGGCATACAATATGTATTTAGATCTTTTCACTTTTATTAGGAAATACTTACAATTGCAATTTTAAATCTTTTAAAGAAAAAATATTTTTCTAGTTACTTGAATAGTTGGATATTTACTACCTAAGTATATTTGTACAAAGTACAACATTTATAATTTTATTTTTTATACTATTTATCTTAGGAAAATAAATAAATAACATTTTGCTGTTATTAATTACCCATTAAGAAATAAAAAGTGAATTAACTAAATATATCATAATAATAATTTCTTATAATAAAAATATAAATGCTTTTAAATTTTAATAAGTAGTAACTTAAAATTATATAATAGGTGACTAAACAATTAAACTGATGATTTAATTTATCATAATATAGTTTTATTAATACTAATAAAATCAATTGAATTATGTATTTAAAGACATATTTAAATGGTCATTTAAATGTTTTATAGAATGTATAATCTAATTGAAAAAAAAGTTTAAGTATTTGTAATTATTAAAAGTATATGTTTGATGATAATAATCATTGTTTAGGTACCTATAATATATGAATTATAGCTCATAGGTAGTTATATTTATTTTATTGTTTTATTTTGTTTTGACTTAAATGTTTGTTTTTATAGAATGAAAAAACGTAGTTTGGCTGGTAACGTAGCCCTTGGCTTATACGTTTTGGCTTTAGTTTTTGTGTTCATTTCATTTTTTTCGACCAGTTGGTTAGTCAGTGATGGGAGAATCACGGGTATTTATAAATTTTTTTAAAAATAATTTTAATGTTTCATTGTGTTATATTTTTTAAACTTAAATTTAGGAGCTAAATTAGAAAGTTTTGGACTGTGGACTCATTGTTTTCGCTCATTACCAGATCCTAATGACCCAGCAGAGCGAAGGTTTTTTGTTGGATGCCACTGGATTTTTGACCCTTTCACCAAGGGATATGATGAAATCAAAGGATTTTTGTTACCATGTAATTAAAATATTGTGCCGTTTTTAAACATTTTAAATGATTAATTTGTGTTTTTATAGTTTACATTGTGGCAACTCAGTTCTTTTACACAATTACATTCCTAGGAACATTGGTATCAGCTGTTGGTTCATCAATGTTTCTTTTATGTTGTACACCTGATGAAAAACGTTTTATACAAATAACTTTTGCGCTGGGAATAACATTGATTGTATCTGGTAAATTTAATGTTTATATTGTTATAAATATTCTTAATTTTTTACTATACCAACATATTTTCATTTTATTTTAGGTGTTTGTGCTGCAATAGCAGTGTTAATATTTGCTTTGTTTGCTAACCGACCAGGTTGGATGCCTGGCCATGACAACAACTTCTTTGGTTGGGCATTTGGCGTGGCTATTGCAAGTTTCTTTGCTTTACTTGCATCTGGAGCATTTTATTTGGTAGAAACAAATATACAAGTGAAGAAAAGGAAATATCTGAAAGAATCACAAACTAAATTTGACATGGAGTCTAAAGGATAAGATGAAATTTATTTTTCACTTAAAAATTTAAAATATTTCCAATTTAGACCATTAAGATATGTTTTTGATAGTAACCTTTTGTATTAAATTTTATGATTTCCAAAATCTGATAGCAACTTATTTTTATGAAACTAATAATCTCATTTTTATTTAAATGAACACTATTACTTATACTATTTTAAATTATTGATTTATTTATTTGTGATAAAATGTGAGTTAATACAATTTTGACTGTTGTATGAAACCGACTCCGTCCATTTATAACGAATATTATTGCGATAATATTATTTATTTAAAATTATACACTTTATTTAGTTTTAATTTTTCAATATCTCAGATCTGTATCATATAGGTGTTAGAAATAAAAAAAAATATTGTAATTTTAAGATGTTATATTATATACATTTTTTTTCTTTAAACAAGCCTGTATTTAATGTAGCTAAATACTTGCATTATTAAAATATTTAGTTTTAAGGAAATCCTGTGCTACAGTTACAGGATTCATCACTGTAAGGGATGAACACCATTAATTTTCATTTTTCTTATGCAATCTAATTTTTTAAGATTTATACTTGGTTGATATTTTATTTTTTTTTATTTTATCCTAGAAACTAGATGCATTGGGATTTTATTACATTAGTTTTATATTATTTATTACCAAATCACTGCACATTGATTCTATGTTAAATATTCTTTTTATTCTTTTACAATTATTGATTATTAAAAAAAATATATAATTTCTTATTTATAAAACGCCAAATATGTATATTATTTATTTTTAAGAATATTATCAACAATAGAATTATTTTCAAACAATAAACCTAAAATAGCTAATTTAGCTATCACTAATAAGTAATTACTAAAAAATTTTCAAAATAAAATGAGAAGTGTTTAAATTATTCAAATTTTTAATAATGTTTTAATTGCTAATACAGTATCAAAGGTTGTTTTATGATAGTCTTTTAAAAAACTATACTTTTAGTGATGTTTTAATCAAAAACTTAACTTTACAGTATTTAACCTCTAATTTTTTGTTGTAAATTGTATTATCCACAAATTATTGAATGTATTTGTATTGAAATTATTTATTTTTATTTTTTAAACATAATTAGAATAAGTAATTAAATGTTATACAATATCATTCTTATTCTAGTTCTATTAAATTTAATATTAATTTTTTGTAATTTTAAAACATTAATTATTTAAGGTTTATGATAATTCTTTATGAGCTTAAACTGATTGTAAAAAAATTTCTGATGAACAATTAATAGTTATTATTTATTAATATCAATGTTATATTAATAAACTGCACTATGCAAAACTGCCTTTTGTTACAAAACATTTAAGTTTAATTGTTTTATTATTTTATAATGTAGATATAATATTTAAAAAAAACCATAAAAATAGAATATTTCTGAAAATAAAATAAACTATTAATACCTAATTATTTATACACTTTTAATTATGTTTTTTGGTTTGTGCAACAATTATTTTTTGAACAAAATGTTAGTGTATGCATTATAATATTTAAATATTTAATTTCTATAAAATATTTCAGGATTTAATTTTTTTTATAAAATCATATTTTTTAAGATTACATATTAAAGTACTGAGGGGCAATCAAAGAAGATATTGAGTCGACAAATAATTTTATCAAGTAACAATTATAATAGCAATAATTAATTAGTAGTATAATCAAAATTTTCTATTTCTTAATTTTAATTTATTGGCATTCAGCATTCTAGCATACAGCAAATTTTAAATTATTAATCAGAAAATGTATTTCACTTATTTTTACCATATATAGCAATAGAATCAAAAAAAATTCTATTCCCAGTTTAACATAGTTATTACCAATCATAATGGAATATTTTGTAAGTTGCACCTAAATGTAAATAACATTAGTTTTTTTTAATGTATAGTAACAAATTAATATACGATTTTAGTATAAATTACAAAAAAATTATTTTGTAATTCCTTGATTAAAATAATTAAAATCTCGCATGGTGACCTTGAACTATTTTATACTACGTTGAGTTTCGTGTATTTTTTTTTGAAAAAATTTCTGATTGTGTAACACTTATTAATAATTTAATTCCTTCGGTAAAGTCCTTCATATTATATTTTTTTTCTCTCGTTCTCTACTAACTCATATTATAAATACTACACGTGAGTTAGTAGCACAATTAACATACCTATACCCATAATCACTTTTTTATCGGAGGAAATGTGAAAAATGATATAACTCGTTTTCAGGTACTTATAAAGCTATAATATAATATATAAAGTAAAATAAACCAGACACTTTTAACGATATTTTAGATTATTGGCCTACAATTTTAGTGATCTTCTGAGATTTATCATTTTTTTGATAAATACGTGATAAATATATTTAGCTTAAAAATTATCAAATCATTGATGTGAAGTATTTTTCATTTTATAATATAGTGGTAAGTGGTACGAAGTATACAGACAAATAAATAAGGAGATTATTAATAGAATATAAGTACCTAGATAGTAGCTATTAGCTACTATAGTTATAAGACCAGGTGTTTAGTTAATAATTATCGATTATATTTTAATTTAACTGAATATTTAATTAACAGCAATTTATAAAAGCGGGGATCAAAAAGTAAAATCAATTATTAAGTACCTAATTATATTATGTTATAAAACATATTTACAATAGTTTTAATTGAAAGTTTCCATGATAAATTATTAAGTACGATCGTTGTTAAAAAATATACAGTACTTAGTTACCAATATGGTATATTGTATATTTGTATAACCGTAAAAGTAGGATCTTCGTTCATCGTAGGTATGTTAGACTATGCTGCAGGAGTCTAGAGAAATAATTTGATAGCGAAAGAATGGTGGTGGGAAAGAGTTCTGCAAACGTAATCAAATCAATAATCAATCATATTGTTATGAGTTATGACCATTATGATCTAGAAAAATTCAAAATCGTAAGTGTATTTGTGTAGGATCAACTAAACATCGTGGATTTGTGATGATGTATATATTTTGTTTTATGGACTAATACCATTTTTTTCACCCCATCAGGACTAGTAGGTATGTTTGTTAAATTCGCGTATTTTTTTTTTTTAATTTGAATTTAAATACCTGCCTATTATTATTATTTTTTACCATATTGTTATCTACAGGTTTTTTAAATAAAATATTTTTTATTATTCAAAGGACGGTGGGAGAATCTCAGAATATAATACGATATTTGTACTCGTTAGTCGTTTATCATATTATCTAATATTTACTGCAGAATATCGGTGAGTACCCAGTAATAGTTATGACTGTTATGAGTATACAACGTATTACTGTATTAGGTAGATGCATATTTTATAATGAGTAAGTAATTATCATTGTACGTTCTTTATAGGTATGTATTATACTATTGGGCGTTGGAAATAATTATTTTATTAAAAATTATTAGTTATTGATATTGAAAATAATCTAGATATTAGTTATAGACTATAGTACAGAGGTGGCCACTAACCTTAACTTTGGGAGCCGAAAATTTATAAAGCTAATTCGAGGCGAGTCGCATTGTAAAGCGATGTTTATGAAATGAAGACACATTTTTGGCTACACATACTAAAAGCACCGCCGCCGTGCCAATCTATACCTAATAACGACTGTAATGATAACGAAATCGATGGCAATAAAAATGCTATCTAACGTTTTAACGATTCAAACAAATTTTAAATTTATTAATTTTAGTCTAAATTTAGTTCAAGAGCCGCACGAAACTAATTTAAGAGTCGCATGCGGCTCGCGAGCCTCGTTGTGGCCACCCCTGCTATAGTACCTACTTGGTAAGGTATCAAATTGTATTTAAAGCAAAAAACAAATCGTATAGGTACAATTTTTTTAAGTTTTATTATTGGGGTATTGGATTGATATTATACCTTTTCTGAAAAAAAAATTAATCGTATGTATTTTTTTGAAATTTCTTTTTCCTTATTTTTTTTTATAATCTTATAGATACCTATACCTGCCTATGTCATATAATTAATAAAATTATATTATGTAGGTACTATGTATACGTATACTATGTACTTGGTAGGTATGTGTGATGCGTTCATGCTGGACGTATGGAGATGAGATATTACGTTAATACCTATAATTTTTTTAGTATTTTACCTAGACATAGTTAGGTGTCGTGTGCCAATATATAAACCACAACTTAATATTTTTATTATTCATATACTTATTCTATTTGATAAACATGCGTTTACATATCAAAATAAAATAATAATATAAAATACAATTATTTACTATAATGCAGTCACTATGTACAGTTAATAATGCTTAAAATATTATTACGTACCTTTTCGAATAATAATTGTTATCGTTTATTTTTGATGCGCGAAAAAACTACTGCGTAGTTCAATACTTCACACGAAGTGGCATCACCAACGAAAATCGATTTTCGGCGTGTATACTTGACTGTTAACATCCACCGACAGCCACCTACGTTACAATTTTGTATTTGAACGATTAGGTGACTTCAACAGTCAATATTTTTTACGAGTTGTCTAGAGAAAAAACGACGTAAGTACACTCCGATATAGTTCGGTCGCAGCAAGTTCATCCGTCACATAACAAACGACGAACATAATAAATAAAATATTTAAGCATAAGTTGGCGACAGCGTAAGACGATTGGACTGTAAGGTTCCAGCTAATCATATGTTAATCATTATCGATTCAAAAAACGGGTACCTGTGCATAGATATCGGCGGAAACTTGAATTCATTTTTTAGGTAAATAATAGAAAACGGGTAGTGTTCAAAATGCAGTGGAACCGGTTTAGCGGTGAGGAAACTCATCGAGTATCATCCATCGCTACACGCTAACAAATTTAAAAGTTTAAGTAAACTAAGTATTGATGTTGACATTTTAATACGTATATATATAAATGTATAACGAGTTATAGATATGTTATATTTGTATAGCTGCCTAGTTTTTTTTTCATTTTTTTTTTTGTTTTTAAACATTTGATGTATATATATATATATATATTGGTAATTTAACTTTAGCTTAAGTTTTTATATATATTACACAATATATATTTTAAGTCAAAATATTTTAAAAAACAATTCTATAAGATATTTATATCACAGCATTATACAGTAC